AGACAGAGTTTCACCATGTTGGTCAGGCTAGTCTCGAACTCCTGACCTCAGGTGATCTGCCTGCCTTGGCCTCCCAAAGTGCTGGGATTACAGGCATGAGCCACCTTGCCCGGCCACAAGTTCTTTATTTGACTTAAAAATCAGAGTTCTTTACTGATGATTCTTGGTCATTTTATCAGTGTCTAAGATAGCACAATTTCTGTGGTACTTACTCTTAATTATTTCTAATACGCGTTGTTTTTGTGCTATTCAATTAAAGTAAGCTGTCTTTAGTGAACAGCACACTCTACTTGTGACCACTCAGAGTCAACTGGGAACCTAACTCCAGTCTGCCATCCCAGTGTTCTCTAATCCCCAGTTTGACACTATCCTTTACAAATGTATGTACATGCTTCCTAAATGCTTTTTAAAAATTAGTACATTCAGAATAATGATTACATCTAGCTGGGAAATGAGGAAATGTTATTGGAAAGATACCAGGAAATGCCTTGGTAAATCTTCTACTTCTCAAGCTGGGTGATAGGTATCCAGATGTTGGCTTTATTATTATTTGTCGTGATTTACATATACACATCATCTTTTATATATATGAAACATTTCATAAAAAGTGAAGGAAGAAATAAATCTAGTCATAATTCACTTGTTCTAATATCAATTTTTATTTTTCTTCAGCTTGATATGATGTAGCTCTTTGAATGTAAACCTTTCGGTAGGTTTGCAGAAGCGTAATTGCTGTGTGATTTAGCATTTATACCCCATCCCAGCCCACAGCCATCTCATTGATGATTCTGTGATATGAGACAAAATCAAAAAGATCCCCAGCAGAATTGAAAACAAATGTTAAACTCACTGCTTTGTTGATTTAATCAGTCTAGCCAGCTATCATGTGGGATTAGAATATAATAAACACAAAAACAAAAACACAAGATTGCTGACAAAGCAGATTCTTTTTTCAAGACACATGTAAAGATAATAGCTACAAAGTTGATTATAATGTCTTGTTTTCCCACAATAACATGACAAGTTCTTGGCTTGGTTTCCTTCTATTCCTGCTTCTCCTCGACCCTGGTTGGTTGTAGGGACCCCGATATGTAGCCCTACAGCACACAAGTCTGATTACACATGGAATTCTAACTGCCTAGTCACATCTCCTCTTCCAGACTATAAACTCATTGCAGAAAGCCTCCATGTTTTTTCAAGGGTGCTACTATCAGAATGGCCCAGTTCAAACAACAGCTCTGTTTCTTAATTCCTGTGTAAGTTTCTTAACCTCTCCCTGTTTTCATCTTGATGTGAGGATTAACGAGATGACACATCTAAATTAGTTACTACAGGCCCGGTAGTATTTATAAGTAAACATTATAATAATTATTATTTACTATTACCATGTGATGATCAAAGAGAAAACTGAGTTGACAGGGAAGAAAGAAAATAGCTCTTATGAGTCTTAATGATTCAAGTTCATGGTCAATGCTCAGGAAATGTTTAGAAACTGAGTCATGGAATCAAGCTCCAGAATATGTAGAATAATGAGAATATGTGATGCCTTGGAGTGGTGTTACCTCTTTGATTGCTCATGCCTGAAGTTTGGGACCAGTGGAGCCAATGGGATCTCAGGGGCTTGTGATATTTTCTTGGTACCACTCAAGGGAAATTAATACATTCTCCACATTTAGCCAACATCTTTGGAGTCCAAATTTTGGGGCCAGAATTTGGCTAGGAAAGGACGATGCAGTGGTGGCAGGTCACATCCTGTAGTCCTTCAAAGCTGTCCCCAGGGCCTGCCCTGCCACGCTGCAAGTACTATCTAGTCTGTTACACTGGGTATAAGTGTAATGGCATTCCTTCATACGATAGTCCACTCTTTTCAAGAGAACTCTAGTGATTACTGTTCCAGATATCTAGCAGTTTTCTCTAAAAGTCATGTTTCTTATGATAATTAAAACTGTAATACATATAAAAAATCCGTATGCATCCAGAATAGCAACCTTATACCTTAAAATCTGGCATTTATTATGTATCCGAATTTATAATAAAAGCTTCAGGTTTAAGTGACTTGCCTCTTAGATGACAGCAATGATATAAAACACATACATACATTTTCTTACTGAGAAAATATCAGTTATATTAATAAAAATTGTTCTATTTTGAGGTGAGAATTCCTAACATCACTCTAGTCCCCATAAAATAAACTCATGGGGTCCTATAAAATTGTAAATATTGTGGTTCAATAGGCTATGGAATGCAGACAATTTATTATAAGATTTGTGGACTCACTAAAAAGTTTTAGGAATAAAAATAATTAAAATAAAATTGAGGACCTAGAAATAGAAATTCCATTTGACCCAGCAATCCCATTACTGGGTATATATCCAAAGGATTACAAATCGTTCTACTATAAGAACACGTGCACACGAATGTTCATTGCAGCACTGTTTACAATAGCAAAGACCTGGAACCAACCCAAATTCCCATCGACGATAGACTGGATAGGGAAAATGTGGCACATATACACCATGGAATATTATGCAGCCATCAAAAATGATGAGTTTGGGTCCTTGTAGGGACATGGATGAACCTGGAAACCATCATTCTCAGCAAACTGACACAAGAGCAGAAGATCAAACACCGCATGTTCTCACTCATAGGCGGGTGTTGAGCAATGAGAACACATGGACACAGGGAGGGGAGCACTACACACTGGGGGTCAGTTGGGGGGAAATAGGGGAGGGAGGGTGGGGGGTGGGGAGCTGGGGAGAGATAGCAAGGGGAGAAATGCCAGATGTAGGTGATGGGGAGAAAGGCAGCAAATCACACTGCCACATGTGTACGTATGCAACAATTTTGCATGTTCTTCACATGTACCCCAAACCTAAAATGCAATAAAATAAATAAATGGGAAAAAAAATAAAAATAAATAAAATTGAAGAGAATTAGAAGTAAATGAAAATAATAATGCTCTCTAAAAGTAAGATGGCTAAAAGAAAATCCAAAGAGGCATATCAAACATAGACATTTATGGTAATGAACTTTGTAAGTAGCTCATTCTAATAATAATATGGAAATATTTAAAACTTTCATTGATGAGTGAAAAAAGGTAAATCAATAGTGGGTAACTGGTGTACATTCTTGGGATATAAAAATATAAAAAATGTAATAGATACTATAAAACCTAGTAAGTACTGTGTTTAATATTTAAAATAACTAATGCCATAAAGTAATTAATATTACAGTTATATTTCTTGAGAAATAGCAATTGAAGGATTTCAAAATATAATATTGACCTGTTCAAGTTTGGGTTCTTCATTCTCTCAGTTTTCAAATAGGATGGAAATTTGCCTTTTTACATATAGACCAGATACTCACTGTGCTTTTACAGGAACTTCTCAGAAACAAAAGACCTCAAATATGTTGATATTTCAGAATATAAGAAAATCTGTTATCATGATTATGATCATTTTCTCCACTTTAAAACATTCATGATCAGCAATTCTAAGTTTCCAGTATTCCAGTTGGGACTAATTCAAAGAATAATAGCAACTCCTCAGTTGCTCTCTCAAGGACAGACATAATGTAGTCCAATCATCTCACTTTACTGATGTTATCTGAAGTCCAGGGAGAAGTTATGCAAGTTAATCAAGGACATCCTTAGCTAGCTGGGGCCAGATTTAAGAGCCAGAACCCAGGCCTCCCAAGTGCTCAGGAAAGACACAAATATTAGTAATTTTTAATAGCTTAAGGATTAATAGCTTAATAATTATTAATAGTTTATGGACACATATTAATAGTTTAAGGATGACGTTAAATTTCTTAGACTTATCACAACACACTTTGAGCAGACAGGAAGTATCACTAGAAGACGTTACAAAGTCTTTCTCGGCAGATCCTTGCTAATTTTGCCAGCCAGCATCATCATCCTGGCCCATGTACCACCCAGTATTCCAGTATTTCCAGAGGGAAAATCACTGCTCTAGGTTTACGAAAAAGGACAAACTTTTCCTTTCTGAAATTTCTGTCTGGAGACCCAGATTTTTAAATGAATAGTACCAGCACCTTCGTTTAAACCACGTATGTCACCAGAAAAAAACAAAAAAAAAAAAAACAAAAAAAACAAACTGGGGGCATAATCAACACACGTGCCTTTTTCTTTTGTCACTTTAGTACTCTGTCTCGTTAAGGATCACATCAAAATTTGTTTTGGAACCGCTAAGTCCTGAGTGGCTTTAGGAAACACATTTCACTTTCCACAGGAGTATGAATGCTATGAAATACCTTCCTAGAAGGAAAGTAAGAGGTACACTGGGCTAGGTCTTTGGCGGGACACCCGCGCAGAGGTTCTTGGAGACATTAGGACACCCTAGTTTCCTCCATGCTGTAAAAGGCCCTCTGGACCTCTGTGAAACTTGTGCCTGGTGTCCAAGTGTATCTTTAAGGTATTTTAAAATGAAAATGAGAATAATTCAGGGGAAAGAAGTTATTTTTAAAAAGAAGAAAGAATTGTCCAAAAGTTTTAGAGGAAGGAAACAGTCTAAGAAGCGTCAGACTACGAGCCACATTCAAATTCTCACGCGACTGGTATTTAATCTACAGTGCCTGGAACGCCCCTCAAGAATCCCTCTACATTTGGGTAGATTGGGGCTCCCGGACCTGCCGACCTTCTGGACGCGCGAAGGCTCATACCAGTTCCCCGTTTGACCTTGTAGCAATTTCCTGGGCAGGAAATAGGTCAAATCTGATGCAACAGCTTGGGCAAAGGCAAGCCTGACCCCAAGCCCCCAGACTCCCACCTTCGCGAGCCGGGTCCAGTGTGGAGATCGGCGGAGGGCACTCTGGGTACCCGCTGCGCTCGAAGGCCACGCGGGGGGCGCGCGTTCACGAGGCCAGCGCCTGTAGCTGCGCCCGGCATCCGACCCAATGGGCTTGACGCACCGGCCCCGTGACAGCCCCGAGGGTCCCGGGCTGGCGCTCACAGGGCTCCGGAGACTAGGGGCGCCACTTACCTCGACGGCTCTGCGGGGCGCGGCGGGGGTGTGGGAAGGCGGCGGGGCTCGGGCCGCGAAAGCGACGCGCAGTGCAGGCGGCCGTACCCGGGCTCCAGGTCGCTGCCCCGGGGAGGAAGTGCTGTCAGCCCTGCCCTTCCCACGCAGCGTGCAGACGTGTGGCTCTATCCGATCTGCTTTGCTTCGAGGTGCAAGGAGGGCCCCTAGTTAGAGACAGAGGGACAGACAAACGTATGCGTAAAGGACTCAGAGTTAGGGGCTGCTTTCTCTAAATCATCCAGTCTGCGCCTGACTTTCTCCCTATCCCGCCCCCGCTACACAACCACCTTGAAAAGATTTTTTTTTCTTTTTAAATTCTGGGAAACGTTGCTCCTTTCTCTCTTGTCCCTCCCCTACCTGTGCCGTGCGCGCCCTTCTCTCAGGAACGTCTCCTGGCGAATCGACCCATTTTGCAGCCTCAACGCATGAGGGTCTAAGGGACTTGGGGCCAAGCGATGGTTCCACCAGAGAGAAAGGCCGATTTATGTTGCAACAGTCTGCCTAAGTGTTTACTTCAGCACTTTCTGGGCTTCCTCTTTCAGGCCGGTTGTGCAAGGCTTCCCGGCCGCCTGCAGCCCGCCCTCAGGGGACGCAGCGCAGGGCTGGACAGGCGGCACCCGCGTCCCGGCCGGAGTTCAGCTGTCTCTCGCGTGGGGGTGGAGGAAGGGCACTCTGGGCAGAGGCCGTTTCTCAACCAACGGGTTGGTAACCTCACCCTCCTCTCTCCCCACGTTTAACCACGCTCAGTTGGTGGGCTGGGTGTAAAGGAATCACACTGACATGCATTGCTCATAGAAATCCAGAATGGTTTGAACCCCGTAGAAGAGAATTGAGCAATATCTATTTAGCTTATGTACGGATTCGCCTTTTGACCCAGCCACCCTACTTCCAGGAGTGTATTACAAAGATCTGCTGTTGAAAATAAGTGATGCACATGGCACAGGGCATTCATGGCCTCACTATGTGCAATAGCAAAGGAATGGCTGGAAATAGCACTTGTCAGTTGAGAGTGGAGTTTCCTGAGAGAAAGTCGCTGGGAGGTCTGAAAATACAGAAGTTAAAGTCAGTTATGGTTTGTAAATGGCGGTTAAATAAACCTCCCCTTCTCTGCAGCTGTGTCTTCAAAGGCTTATATGTTGGGGAAGGCGGTGGAGACATAAACATAAACTAGATGCATGTGTTAATTCGGCAGTTTCAAATAGTTCTGTCATTTATTTAATGAGAAGCCATTTCCCAAGCACCTACACTTCTAAGAACAATGAAAATAGAGGAAACAATTTCTGCTCTCATGCCTGGTGCATTCTAGTTGGTAGAAAGCAGACAATAGACAAATTAATATTCAACATGTCAAGGTGCTATATTAATTAGGGTAAATGATAAATAAATAGAAAATATATTGTCTCTTCCTTATGATTGTCTTAATAATTTCTTTTCTCTAGCTTTCTTTGTTGTAAAAATAGAATATTTATTTAAATACATATAACATAATATGTGTTAATTGACTGTTATCAGTAATACTTCTGGCCAACAGTAGGCCATTAGTAGTTAAATTTGGGGGGAGTCAAAAGTTATACATGGATTTTCAACTGTGCAGCAGTTTGGTACCCCTAAAACCTGGCATTGTCCTGTTACAGTAGGTAGCTAGTCAGGTATGAGCAGGGCAGGAGAGGGCTCCCCCGACTCCATACCAAGAACGTCAGGTGATGATCAAGCAGCTGTTAACCGTCCTTCTAAAATAATAATTGGTCACAGCCAATTATTAGCCTTACTGATAACAGTCAATGAACATATACTATATGCATTAAATACTGTATTTTTACAATAAAGTAAGCTAGAGAAACTGTTATTAACAAATCAAAGAGAAAATATATTTTCTATTTATTTATTTCCAGAGACAGTCTCACTCTGTTCCTGGACTAGAGTGCAGTGGTGAGATCATAGCTCCTTGTAGCCTCAAACTCCTAGGCTCAAGAGATCCTCTGGCGTCAGCCTTCTGAGCAACTGGGACTATAAGCATGCACTATCATTCCAGCTAATTTTATTTTATTTTAAATAATTTTTTGTAAGATGGGTCTTGCCATGTTTCCCAGGCTGGTCTCAAATTCCTGGCCTTAAGCAATCTTCCTGCCTCGGCCTCCCAAAGTGCTGGGATTACAGGCATGAACCACTGTGACTGATCTCACATTTACTATTTCTTAAGTGGAAGTGGATCATCATAAAGGTTTTCATCCTCATCTCGTTCATGTTACTCAATTTTACTGGGAGGAGAAAGAGGAGAGGTTGATCTTGTTGTTTCAGGGATGGCAGAGGCAGAAGGAAATCCAAGTATAGATGAACCCATGCAATTCAAACCCATGTTGTTCAAGGGTCAATTGTATAATGGTTCTGACTAGGTTGGCAGCAGTGGAAATGGGAAAAAATGGGTGAACTTGAGAGACATTTAGAAGGTAGTTGGCCAGAGATTGAGAGGGCTGGATATAGGCAGAGGGAGAAGAGCAGGCAGGCAAGGATGACTCCTAAGAATCAGGTTTGTATGATGGTGGCTGACAGTCCCATTATCAAGATGGGAACTCTGGAAGAGTGGTATTTGGGCAGGGGAAAATAGTGAGTTTTATTGTTTGCAAGTTGAATTGGACAAATCTTTAAGACATCCAAGGGGAGACTTCAAGTAGAGAATTGTATAGAAGAATCCTTTGCCCAGAGAAGTGTGATTCAGAGTCAGAGATACATATTTTGAGTAATCATATAGGTGGTGATTTATGAGATTGCGTAGAGAGACTATGACGTGGGATGAAACAGAGGCCTAGGGCTAAGTCTTAAGGAACTCCAGCATCTAAAGTAGAGGACAGAGAGTCCACAAAGAACACAGAGGAAGAGCTTTAAGGGGGTAGGAGGAAAACTAGGAGAAAGTGCTGTGGAAGCCACAAGAGTGGGAGGATGTGGTCAGCAATATCCAGAAATGTTGCAAGGACAAGTCAGTAAGACTGAGACATGGTAATTGGCTTTACCAATGTTAGTGACCTCAGAAACCAACTGCAATAGCATGATGGGCTGCAGGCCAAAGTGGGTTGAGGAGTGAACAGGGTGTGAAGAAATGAAGATGGTGAGCAAAGCAGCCCTTGTAAATAGTTTGCCTATTGTATTAGTCTGTTCTCACACTGCTAATAACGACATACCCCAGACTGGGTAATTTATAAAGAAAAGAGGTTTAATTGACTCACAGTTCAGCATGGCAGTGAAGGCCTCATAATCATGGCAGAAGGGGAACAAGGAGCAAAGTCATGTCTTACATGGCAGCAGGCAAGAAAGCATGTATGGGGAACTCCCATTTATAAAACCATCAGACTCGTGACACTTATTTACTATCACAAGAACAGTATGGGAGAAACAGTCCCCATGATTCAGTTATCTTCACCTGGCCCTGCCCTTGACATTTGGGGATTATTACAATTCAAGGTGAGATTTGCATGGGGACACAGCCAAACCATATCACCTGTGAAGAGAGGAAAGGGGACAGGGAGGCAGTGGGTGGAGGATATGAAATTAAGGAAGATTTCATTTATTTATTTATTTATTTTATTTTTAGAGACAGGGTCTTGCTCTGTTGCCCTGGCTGGAGTGCAGTGGTGTGATCATAGCTCACTTGCAGCCTCTAATTCCTGAGCTCAAGTGATCCTCCCACCTCAGCATCCCAAAGTGCTGGGATCACAGGCACGAGCCCCACTATACCCAGCCTTTTATGTATTTTCTTAAAAAATGATTTTCAAACAGGAATAATTGAGATGAGTGTGAGGAGTCGACATTAACAAGAGAGTAGAAATAATTGATGGTGAAAAGTTTTCAAGACGGAAGTGGGTTGAGTCCAAAATGTAGGTAAATGAATGGGCCCCAGATAAGGAGACTTCCTCCATTTTATGGTGGGTTTAGAGTAGATAAGGATCTTCTTTCATATGGCTGTAACATAAGGAAATCTAACCTCAAGCCTCTGTTTTCCTTGCCAGAAGCAGGGTCATCTGCTGAGAGTGAACTTGGAGATCAGCCAGGCATTGATTTGGGGAGCTGGAGAAAGTCTGATAAGGTCATTGAAGAGAATGGGAGAGAAAGGGGATCAGAAACTGTAACGGGATTTCCAGGCAGATTCAGCATCCACTTAAAACAGGCAATCATGAATTATGGTGGAAGCCATCTTGTCGGCTGTGCCTCTCTCCTGCAGGACTAGGTTTGGATGGAAGATGGAAGGATGGGTTATTGTGGTCAGAAGTTAGACAGAGTGAACTTGCTTCTGGAGGTGGAGAGCTTATGGGTGCTGACAAAGTCCAGGGAGTGACCGTGGCCTGCGTGGCTGAGATGACCAAGGACATGAGAGGCTAAGGGGCCATGTGCATCATCCCAGCTAACTGTTTATGTCACTCGGGATTGGGGTGGCCACATCACTTATTGTCTCAAGACCGGGATATGTTTGAGACTACCAAATTGCCAAGTAGATGGGAAGCTAAGGAACAATTGTAGGCCACGTGCAGTGGCTCATGCCTGTTATCCCAGCACTTTGGGAGGTTAAGGCAGGAGAATTGCTTGAGTCCAGGAGTTTGAGACCACCCTGGACAACACAGCAAGACTATCTTTACAAAAAATAAGAAATTAGCTGAGTATGGTATGTGTGACTGTAGTTCCAGCTACTCAGAAGGATGAGATGGGAGGATGGCTTGAACTTAGAACTTTGAGTCTGCAGAAAGCTGCGATCATGTCACTGCACTCATCCTAGGTGACAGAGTTATAATTCATGACTGTTTCAGGCAAACAGAATGATGACAGGATTTAAGCTTATCTTAAAAGGTGACAGAGAATCACGTGTCAGGGTTTTGAAATGAGAAGGAGGAGAACTGGGTTGTTTAGTCAGGCGTCATGAGCCTCAAATGAGAAAGCTTTTCTCATTTGCTTGGAGTTTTGTTTTTAATAAAAAGATTAGCCATTTATGATTTGCAAGTAGCAGTGAGGAGCATGGAGAACAGTAAGTTCGCCTTTCAAACTTAAAGTTGCTGGAATTTAAGAGAATAAATCACTGTCTTTTGAGAAAGCTGCAGTGGAAATGGTGTCCTCAGGGCACAATTAAAGCCTGAAGTTAGAGGAACACTCCAGAAATAGCTTCAAGACATAGGAGTGGCAGTGAAAGATTTTGGGAGGTGGGGAAGAGAATGACCCATGGGGTCATGAACACGGAATCACAGCCCATAGTGGAGAGGATGGTGTTGGGGGAAACCCCCCAGGTGGCTTCCTCTTTGGAGAGTGACCAATAAAAACTAAAAACAGATTTCAGCCAGGCGTGGTGGCTTATGTCTGTAATCCCAGCACTTTGGGAAGACCAGGTGGCCAGATCGCTTGAGGTCAGGAGTTTGAGACCAGCCTTGCCAACATGGTGAAATCCCATCTCTACTAAAAATACAAAAATTAGCCAGGTGTGGTAGTATATGCCTGTAATCCCAGCTACTCAAGGAGGCTGAGGCAGGATAATCCCTTGATTCTGGGAGCTGGAGGTTGCAGTGAACTAGAATAGTGCCACTGCACTCCAGCCTGGGTGACAGAGCAAGACTCTGTCTCAAGAAAATAAAAGGGGACTTCCTCAGGTATCTCAGAAGAAGATGGCTAGCGGCTAAAA